TTCAGGGCGATCCTACATGTATTCAGGCTATTTGTGTGTAGTATCACAGACTTTGACGTCACAGAGATAGTAGCCTTCTATGGCGTCATCAATATACGGCTTAGCAAATAAAGGATATGCTTTGTTTTTAGTGAAAATATCGATGAATTCTTTGGTAAGGCATACGATAGAAAGGGTCTTGTTTAAAATCCCCTTTGCGGAAATACAACTACAATGTAGCGTTGTTTTTTTTTATTAATAGAAGAGAAAAAAGGTATTTGTTTAATAGATACAGTTGAATTCTCCGATTTCTAGAATTATTAACCTTATAATGGGTAGTTACTCTCCTTCGTTAAACGGGAAAGTACAATTTTGGAATGATATATGTCTGTGATTGTTTTGGGAGGAGACAGATTCAATATTCGTTTTCTGTAACTATAAGGAACTTAATCCTGCCTCCACTCCCCACTCCGAAAAAAAAATCTTCTCATTGACAAGGTATTTCAGTATTTTGTAAAATAAATGAAATAATGTCAACACGCTACTAAAATGCAACTTGTTACATTATACAAAGCCACACTTCACAAATGACATAACAAAGTATACAAAGCCTCCAGCGCATGCGCATACGTCCATAAACGACCTTAGTCTGTAAACAATAACGGTAACAGTACTGACGGTAGGCTGTAGGCGACACAAACGCATTACAACACTTATAATAACAGTAATGCATGCGACACTTATAATACACACGACACTTACATCATATACAGTGATTATACCATACATACACACGACACTTACATCATATACAGTGACTATACCATACATACACACGACACTAACATCATATACAGTGACTATACCATACATACACACGACACTTACATCATATACAGTGACTATACCATACATACACACGACACTTACATCATATACAGTGACTATACCATACATACACACGACACTTACATCATATACAGTGACTATACCATACATACACACGACACTTACATCATATACAGTGACTATACCATACATACACACGACACTTACATCATATACAGTGACTATACCATACATACACACGACACTTACATCATATACAGTGACTATACCATACATACACACGACACTTACATCATATACAGTGACTATACCATACATACACACGACACTTACATCATATACAGTGACTATACCATACATACACACGACACTTACATCATATACAGTGACTATACCATACATACACACGACACTTACATCATATACAGTGACTATACCATACATACACACGACACTTACATCATATACAGTGACTATACCATACATACACACGACACTTACATCATATACAGTGACTATACCATACATACACACGACACTTACATCATATACAGTGACTATACCATACATACACACGACACTTACATCATATACAGTGACTATACCATACATACACACGACACTTACATCATATACAGTGACTATACCATACATACACACGACACTTACATCATATACAGTGACTATACCATACATACACACGACACTTACATCATATACAGTGACTATACCATACATACACACGACACTTACACCATATACAGTGACTATACCATACATACACACGGCACTTACATCATATACAGTGACTATACCATACATACACACGACACTTACATCATATAATTTGACAATACTGTCATACACACGACACTTACATCATATAAGGTGACAATACTGTCATACACACGACACTTACATCATATAAGTTGACAAAACTGTCTTTCACACGACACTTACATCATATACAGTGACAATACTGTACGTACATAATATAGTGACAATACAGTATGTGCACACGACACTTACTATAACAGTTTTGCATACGTCACTTACTATAACAGTTCTGCACACGTCACTTACTATATCAGTTCTGCACACGTCACTTATTATAATAGTTCTATACACGGCATTTTGCACAAGACACAATGTCAGTAGGAACGTGCACGACACTCACAACGTGACCGTGCTATATACGTCACTCACAACAGTGACCGTGTTATACACGTCACTCACAACAGTGACCGTGCTATATACGTCACACACAACAGTGACCGTGTTATATACGTCACTCACAACAGTGACCGTGCTATATCCGTCACACACAACAGTGACCGTGCTTTATACGTCACACACAACAGTGACCGGGCTATATACGTCACACACAACAGTGACCGTGCTAAATACGTCACACACAACAGTGACCGTGCTATATACATCACACACAACAGTGACCGTGCTATATACGTCACTTACAACAGTGACCGTGCTATATACGTCACTCACAACAGTGAGCGTGCTATATACGTCACACACAACAGTGACCGTGTTATATACGTCACTCACAACAGTGACCGTGCTATATCCGTCACACACAACAGTGACCGTGCTTTATACGTCACACACAACAGTGACCGGGCTATATACGTCACTCACAACAGTGACCGTGTTATACACGTCACTCACAACAGTGACCGTGCTATATACGTCACCCACAACAGTGACCGTGCTATATACGTCACACACAACAGTGTCCGTGCTATATACGTCACACACAACAGTGACCGTTCTATATACGTCACACACAACAGTGACCGTGCTATATACGTCACTCACAAGTACAGTACTGCACATGCCACTTACACGAGAGTACTACAGACAGCAGTACGGTATCATACATTACACCGCCTGTGATGTAGAGCTCAAACTCATGCTACTAAATATTGAGGCATCACTCTACAGATTATCATACAGTACCTGTAAATTATTAGCACTTATGAGCTGCATTCTCTTGGTAAATAAAGAACTTGAGAACCTGCATTATTGTAACACTACAAATAAATCTTATTTATACCAGGTCACAGCTAACACCCGGCGTGTTTTCCGATGTAGTGTTTACATGTGTCGTATGCAAACAGGTAACATGGCCCGGTTTGAGGAGTTCCAGTTTTCGTTAGACAATATTAAAGGGTTTGTACATTTTGTCTGGACTGTATCCGATGGTTTTATGGCAGAAATTGAAATATATTATCTGGTTATAAATATATATTATCTGGCCTTGGATTGCGTCCTTGCCTAAACCTGTATGACTTTTTACCTGTAGTTGACCGGCGTACTAGATTTGATATGTGCGATTCATTTCTACCGCCTCGAATTGCGCTCTATCATGTCAAAACACATTACCAAGTGTTATAATATGCTTTAAATTGGTTCTTACTTGAAATCTATGCATGTCGGAATCTAGATTTCAATATAAGACCTTCACACTAGTTTAATTTCGTCCATTGTTATCGCGACTGGTACAAAGAACCTGGAAGCTCTCGACTCAGCGTTCATCGTCCAACATCTTCTTTCTCTTAACGGCTTCGTCTCCAAAACTGAAAGCCCCTTGGTCATGATAGTTGGTCAGTAGGTACTTTAGATAGAGTGCACAGAGGGCCCTCATATCGATGACGGTGACTTACATTCAATGTCACATGGGTCGAATATACCTAAACCTTTAAACAACGATATTTAACGAATAATGATAGACCAGCATTTGGATTTACAGTCTATACAAATAACAAGCTGTGTCATTCATACATACTATAAATGCCTCATCAACACAACTCAATGCTTAATTAAACGACGCCAAAATGTTATATTATAAATTATCTTAATTCAACAGCATTTGTTTTATACAGATATGACAAGGGGTGTAAATGGTGGGTGGGTGTGGTTCGGGAACGGAGGAGGGACACCTCATGACATCTCCACCCTCTCCAGTAAACACACGGATACGGCCATGTTTAGTAATTTATGCTTTAAAACGTGTATTGTTGGTTTTACTTTATGGTCTGTTACATTAAAATATTACAAAACAAACAAGTTAAAATAGAAGTAAGAAATTAGCGAAGTATAGCATACGTGGTCTGTCTTATGTACTTGTATATATCAGGAGAAGAAAGAAATGTTTGTCGAGTACACATTTAGGTGAAAAAAGTGTCACATGGAGGCAGAAAATGGCATAAATAGACAATGGAGAGACAGAAAATTGAACTATGTTTTTTCTTTTTCTACATTTTCTATCCTCTCACCTCCCCGTGTTTAGTACTGGCTGTCAGTCTTTTCGGTGTGATTTGTCCAACCAGTTGGCCGTTATTAAGCCGATACAAGAAAATCAAACCCAACCCCATGTCGTGCAGGTAAAAAACCACGATTGTTCATTACGTACTCGCTGCGATGTCAGTCCGTCATTAATTGAGGTTATTAAGTGTTAAGACCCTAGGATACTAACGACTACCCACTAGGATAATCCGGACCAGACTATTACGTGTTGTCGTTACAGAGTTACGTCCGGAGTCTTACGTAAAAACAGGGATTGTCCATGTCCCTACGACACCGACGTCTCGGCTAATTAGAGGAAATATGTGCGGGCAGAGTTCAATTCAAGATAATTAATTGTGTTGTTTTGTTGTAAAAAAAAATCATTTATCCAATTTTATAAAACATAATCACGTCGCGTTTATAAATTAGTTTTTAACTGTTTTCTAGAATTATTAAATATGCTGGCATACGCCTTTAATTCGTGTTATAAAGTATACGTAGTTTGTCATACTCTCTAAAAATATTACTTTTTATGATATTCGTAAACATTTCTTTCATTATAGTCCCTTTGATGTAAAGACACATTTTAGATTTGAAATAGTACTCGTACAGGTGTTGAGCGACTTGTTTCAATGGTCGTAATTATGACTATTGTCGGCGCTCAGTAGTCACCTACCTGAGCATTATACTCACCTACCTATATCTTAGCTATTACAATAATCCGGTTACGTAATATGACTTCCAAGTAACATGCTATCATCAAATCCCATGGGAATATCTTATAAATCTGATTTCTAATTGACACTCTCGTGAGTAGGCGATGTAACACTTTTTACACACCATTATATAAAGAGGACGAGAGTGTACAGACCACAGAACCTGTTGTTCATGCGACGGACGACAGCTGTAGTCCAGCTGATATAAAACAGACTTTGGTACAGTGAAACACATCACTTTACCGATTTTCATTTGATTGGAGGAACATCAGAAAGAAGGCTGACAGGAAATTGTAGGAATTCCGGCGAATATCTGAAGACTTTATCAGTCCTAAAAAAGGTTTACTGACAGTGTGATTCGTATCGAAGTTGATATTTCGATACATTTCGGAACACTTACAAGGAAGATGCAGGCGAAAATGCAGCAATGCAAAGAACAAAGCGGGCACGTAGCTCGACTCTCGGACGAGAGGATGGGTGTTGCGACGAAATACGGAGAGAATCTGACAGAGGGGCGAAAAATCGTGGGACATTCCCTCACCTCCGGGGGACGAGGAAAGGAGAGAAGAACCTGCGTCTGTAGTCTGGAAATTGGGAGCGAAACACTTTCTAGCGAAATTAGGAATTCTTCTGGAAGCTCGAGTCATTGTTCAACATGTGGTAAGTGGAACGTTTAATGGCACGTGACGTGCAAAACAATTACGGACACAAATTAAAACGTAGTCCGAGTTTTGCTAAATTGTACTAGAATAATATATTCGAATATAAAGTTTTAAGACTAAAAACTCAGATTTGTCATCAGAATATTATAATCTAACACTTAGTTAACAACTATAAGATCGCTGTGTTTTAGGACTGTTTAGACTAAATTATCTCCCCTAGATGACCTGCACTGTAGACCAAGGTGATTGAGATATGTGCCAATTCATAATGATCTTATTTCTCAATATGCTTATAAATAAATCTTACCTTCTGTAATAAAATACATCCCTCACTGCTTCTAAATGAAATCAAGTTGACAAAAACCACTGAAAAACTGTATGGTTGCTCTGATGCACAGGGACCTGATAATTTTCTGCAGATATATATTTGGACCTAAATTAAGGTGTTCAGAGTAATTTTACAATTCAGAGTAACTTTACATGTGATCTGATGTGCAGCTTAAGCAATGCCGATCTAGAGGGTTTTCTGTGGTTCGGTGAAAGGCCCCCGTATTGAAATTTTCTTTAAAACATATTTTTTTTGCTCGTATGGATCCCCCCTCCCACTTTTTTGAGTTCGCCACTTGTAAAATGAACAAATGTATAATCTACACCACGTACAAGCGTAAACAAACAGAAAAAACACCAACATGAAATATGTTAATGGTGTCCGTGTCAGCCGACTTATATATATACCTTTAATTAGCGTTATTGCATTTTTACTTTAGAACTTTCCTATTTAACATAACATTTTGGAGTTCTGGTAAGTCTTCTTTTAACGTGTACTCTCCATCCTCGACATTCCTTGTTGTCATTACTTATAGGAGTTCTGTGGTATATTTTGTGATAAAAGTGATGACAATTATTATCCACTTGACATACTGAACGAAAGCCACACCATGTGGCTTTGTTTCTTTGAATTAGAAAGAGCTGTGTTTTACAACTCGCGACATAGTTTATAAATAACAGTCGGAATGATTATCTTGTTTGTTTATGGGTCCCCTTACCGATCACGTGGGTTTCTACTGGTACTCAGCTTTTCTCCCAGCTACTTCCTTGGCCAACATCAATAAAAAAATGTTTCATATCTGATAAAAATCAATTTTTGTTTGGTGTTTTTTTATATATATATTTTTAATCGAGTTTGATAAATCATCATTAGTAGAAGAGTAGATACTACTGTCATGTTTAAAAACATTCAATCCAATGTGATTGCTGTCGGTGAGGTGATTTTAACAATTATGAGTTATGTTGTCCTCTGTTCGCATTTGTAAAGGTAAATCGAGAAAAAACCTACAACTTATTTAGATATGAAAATGCGAGGTTGTTTACGTTATTTCAATATCATATAGTTTTGATATCTGTAACAGGGTTAGGGTATGCCACAGTTTTGATATCTGTAACAGGGTTAGGGTATGCCACAGTTTTGAGATCTGTAACAGGGTTAGGGTGAGCCATGGTTTTGAGATCTATAACAGGTGGTGGGTATGCCATAGTTTTGAGATCTGTAACAGGGTTAGGGTATGCTATACTTTCGAGAACTATTACAGGTTTTAGGAGAAATGTTATCATTACTGGTACTGCCAGAGGTTATGAGGTCAATGTCACATATTACTTAGTCTAGCAATGATGCCCCGTATTAACATGTTATCTGAAGTGGGCCATTGGGTTGTAGAATTCTAATGTAATTATCGAACATGCCTGTCTATACTTACAAGATGTATAATCGATGGAAGCTGTTGTTTGTATCGGGAACACTCACCTTCATCGAGTGTGGGTATTCCACAAGGACATAAGGAATGGTTGAAGTATGCGCTGTTGGGATCACAGGGACCTGAGAATTAGTTACAGCTGTATTTGGACCTTAACTGAGAGTACTTTTACACATTTTAGGGTTTTATATAAAATTTTCGGTAAAAGCCTGCCACCTTTATACCGTTATATTGGAGGTGGGTTTTTCACCGAAATTTTATCTAAACCCGCAAACGTGTTGAATTACTCTACAGACCTCAGTTGATGTCCAAATATAGCTGTAACAGTGTCTCATGTCTGTTTGGTTGGAATCAAGAATAGATCCCGAAGTTAAGTTACGTCAATTATGTTTGGACCAAAACTGATTTTTTTGGCAGTAATATAAGACGTTTTAGGGGTTTAGCTATGGGTAAATATTCTACACTGTACATCCCAATGTGTACAGGTACTGGTGCCAGTATAAACAGTATGACTATAAACATAACAATCTTGGTCTCATTACACGGAACAACCCCAGGTTTCCCAGTCGTTACGGTTCTGCAAATACCAATTTCAGACACGTGGACTTCAGCAGAAGATAAACAAATGTCTAGTAGTCGACATGTGTGTTTTCTGTATACATCCATTACCACGTCTCTGAAGCCTAAATGCCATTTCTGACATAAACAAGTTACACCAGAGCTAGTTAGCATCGCCCGGTTATGGAATTCGTCTAAACGAGATGGAGTGTTTACTTGGTTAAGTGTTGAATCCTGTTTATCGAGTTAAAATTTACTTTATCTTGCACAATACCATTGTGTCTTTCTTCATTAATAACTATCAGAGGATAGTGAGCTCATTGGGAGCGAGAGGTTGTTCCAGAACTAGATCTCAAAACGACAAGACATCTGAAGGAAAACAATGTTTTTGAGAGTTGTTTCAACTATGAACATATCCACTGAGCTGGAACCATTGTATTTTATATACTGTAGTTCTATGTCTATACAATGTGTCCTAAAATTAATATATTGTAGAAAAGTTTCGAAATCAGTGGCAGAATTATAAACGATACAAAATTCTCGATATGCCGACTTGCTTATTTTGCTATGTCGTATAGTGATCTCGCTATGTCGGCTTACAGCTGTTAGTATCTCGTCATGGTTGATCCGCGCACTATAGGTAATACATAGGGGTCAAAAGAGGCACAGGAACACAGACCTTATAGAAAATGGGGGAGGAAGGAAAAGATAAAGAACATGACGGTCACACGTACCTTGCGTGTTGGCCTGTTTTCTTTGCACCAGCAAGCTAAGAGGGCAAAGAAGAAAATGTGCTGAATTTAGTTATTTCTCGTACACAACACCGAAATTGTACATTGTTGAGAAGACGCATGAGATAGATGCACAAAAAAACTTGTTTCCTATTTCAAACTTCGTTTTTCTTTATCTTCCTAACGTTAGATCAATGCCTATACACGAATGTCAATAAGTAGCGTGACGTTGTACAGAAGATTTGGTGTGCAGTGTTTACTGAAACCTCGACAGCGACCGATTGACATGCACCTCGAGCATACATTGTATGGTTAGCACGTTAAAACGTATCCATATAACTGTACACCTGTATTCATACATAAGATATTTCAGTGACAGCTGACATGTTTCTACCAACACAAGAAAATCGATTTATCCTTCAACAGACTTGTTTACTTTGCACTTATTTCCGATTTTAATAGGTTGCAAGTTGTATGATATAAAATTTCTGCCAGGAGTCATGCCAATGCAATAGAAACGTTCCTGGGTTTGTTTGTTTATGGAAAATGTTGAGAGGACATGGATAAATATATACTGTGTGTTAAGGGAGTAAGTTAATTTCTAGGGAGTTAATAGAGTGTTTAGGGAGTTAGTTGAGTGTCTCGGGAGTTGGTAGAGGGTTAAGGGAGAAAATAAAGTGTTTAGGGAGTTAGTAGAGTGTTTAGTGAGTCAGTAGAGTGTTTAAGGAGTTAGTTGATTGTTTAGGGAGTTGGTAGAGTGTTTAGGGAGTTAGTTGAGTGTTTAGTGAGTTGGTAGAATGTTTAGTGAGGCAGTAGAGTGTTTAGAGAGTTAGTAGAGTGTCTCGGGAGTTGGCATGGTAGAGTGTTTAGGGAGGTAGTAGAGTGTTTAGGGAGTAAGTTAAGTGTCAAGGGAGTTAGTAGAGTGTTTAGTGAGTTGGTAGAGTGTTTATGGAGTTAGTAGAGTGTTTAGGGAGTTAGTAGAGTGTTTAGGGAGTTAGAGGAATATGTAGGGAGTGTTTAGGGAGTTAGTAGAGTGTTTAGGGAGAAAGTATTGTGTTTATGGAGTTAGTAGAGTGTTTATGGAGTTAGTAGAGTGTTTAGGGAGTTCGTAGAGTGTTTAGGGAGTTAGTTGAGTGTTTAGGGAGTTAGTAGAGCGTTTAGGCAGTTAGCATCCTCGATATCCAGGGGTTACGCTCACTTTCGCTCTCTACACAGCGAAAGTGAGCGTAACTCCTGGATATCGAGGATGGAGACCGGAGTTAGAAGATTGTTTAAGGAGTTAGTTGAATGTTTATTGAGTTGGGTGAGGGTTTAGGAAGTTGCTCTGTTTGTATGTCATTTGGTTATTTTTCACATTTTCGTTCATCGCGTAGTGCATCCCGCACCAAAAACGATTAAGCTTATATTAATACTCATAAATCGTGTGCGCTGCTGAGCCTAGAGAAATACACCTATATCTATGTTATTAGCACAGCCCAGTCTGTAGTTTACACATAGTAAGAGATCTTAAAATGGAAAAGAACACGTGTAATTGATATAGATTGGTCGAGGTAATATAGGACAGTGTCTTTAGTTAGTTCTTATCACTGAAACGTCCAGACGATTTGTACTTCTAACGATTGTGAGTCTGTTATAGGTAATGTACGCTTTGTACTACTTTCTTCATTGTTGTTTATTGTTGTCGCGTGTGTTAATTGGTATGTGTGATGTGTACGTGTGTTAATTGGTATGTGTGATGTGTACGTGTGTTATTTGGAATGTGTGATGTGTACGTGTGTTAATTGGTGTGTGTGATGTGTACGTGTGTTAATTGGTATTTGTGATGTGTACGTGTGTTAATTGGTATGTATGATGTGTACGTGTGTTAATTGGTATGTGGGATGTGTACGTGTGTTAATTGATATGTGTGATGTGTACGTGTGTTATTTGGAATGTGTGATGTGTACGTGTGTTAATTGGTTTGTGTGATGTATACGTGTGTTAATTGGTATGTGTGATGTGTGCGTGTGCTAATTGGTATGTGTGATGTGTACGTGTGCTCATTGGTATGTGTGATGTGTACGTGTGTTAATCGGTATGTGTGATGTGTACGTGTGTTAATTGGGATGTGTGATGTGTACGTGTGTTAATTGGTTTGTGTGATGTATACGTGTGTTAATTGGTATGTGTGATGTGAACGTGTGTTAATTGGTATGTGTGATGTGTACGTGGGTTAATTGGTATGTGTGATGTGTACGTGTGTTTATTGGTATGTGTGATGTGTACGTGCGTTAATTGGTATGTGTGATGTGTACGTGTGTGTGTTCGTGTGTTAATTGGTATGTGTGATGTGTACGTGTGTTTGTACGTGTGTTAATTGGTATGTGTGATGTATACGTGTGTTAATTGGTATGTGTGATGTGTGCGTGTGCTAATTGGTATGTGTGATGTGTACGTGTGTTTATTGGTATGTGTGATGTGTACGTGTGCTAATTGGTATGTGTGATGTGTCCGTGTGTTAATTGGTATGTGTGATGTGTACGTGGGTGTGTACGTGTGTTAATTGGTATGTGTGATATGTACGTGTGTGTGTACTTGTGTTAATTGGTATGTGTGATGTGTACGTGCGTTAATTGGTATGTGTGATGTGTACGTGTGTTTGTACGTGTGTTAATTGGTATGTGTGATGTGTACGTGTGTTAATTGATATGTGTGATGTGTACGTGTGTTATTTGGTATGTGTGATGTGTACGTGTGTTAATTGGGATGTGTAAATTGATCATACACCTGTGTGCTATACACAACGTATGTGAAATATACCGCGTTTAACACGTGTGTTAATTGTGATGTGTAATTTGACCATGCTTCCTGTGTGCTATATCACACGTGTGTGAATTATACTGTTGATCACTGTATTTAACACGTGTGATAATTGTGATGTGTAGTTTCATCATACAAATGTGTGCTATATCACACGTGTGTGAAGTATGCTGTTTAACACGTTGGTTGTGCTGTGTAATGTCAGTATTGTGTGTGACACGTGTATACATTTTTACGTGTACTTTTTTTCACACAACCTATATTATAATGCATATTTGTAATGTGTTTTCATTTCTTATTCTATATACATGTTGATACTTTTGATTACTCTATTGCGTCTGTTTATTAACGATTACAGAATAGTAGGCACGCATGTGTGATAATTATACATAAAACACATGTTTTAATTGGAATATACATGGAGTCGCTAACACACGTGTTTCTGTGTTTTACAGGGTGGATCTTGTCTGCATCAAGCGACCACAAACCTGTACCAACTATGAGTCTGGCATGGGGATACGGCAATAACAATGGTAAGTGAAATATTTCACGTGTCCAACAACACGGAAGCTATAGGTGGTCCGCAAATGAAAAAAAAAAAAAAAAATGAAATGTGAATACAATTATAAATCTGCATATCATTTTACTGTTTTCAAAATTACTTTAAACTGAATTTTATAGACAAATAACCCAGAATGGTTAATGACTGTTGAGCTCGTGTGTCTATCTCAAACAAGAGAAAGTCCTTTAACCGCCTGCACACTGAAACTCGCTGTTTCTAGTGCTAGAGCTATGTCAGGAACTACATGTAGACATATTTTACGCTCTTATGAGGTACCCTATTTATATATAAGCGCACACTTTCGTGATAATATTTTGGTTAACATAAGGATTCTAGCCCAGTGGAGGGAGAAACAGCTTGACACTGTGCGGGAGTCATAGGAATCGATTCATCTATTAATTTGTCTGTCCAGGTTATGTTTTCTGAATGTCTTCTATTGCACAGTGACCTTTGACGAATCATCGCACCTCTTGTATTTTGTTGTGTTTTAAGACATTGTGTTAGTGTCTTAAGACACATTTTCAAATGTTTTCTAAAAAGATGTAAATGTGACTTATCATGTTCTGTCCTAAAATTTGTCACCAAGTTGAGGTCAGCGTACAGTTGACGTTTTGTACCAAACTGGCGGCATCATTGCTAATGGTGACAAATATAAAGTCCACGTTTACCCGTTCTGTTCTAGTGGCTTAGCGGCGTTCAAATTGTTTTATTCCCCCAGCATCTTTGGGAGGGATGCCAGGGTTGGGGTGCCCCGGAATCATCCCTCTTACATAATATAGCCTCATGCAAAAGACCTCTTTCTCTTCATTCTCTCTTTCTTTTTCATTCATTCTTTCATACATATATTTCATTCATTACAATAACGATAATATTTATTTTGATTAAATTGATATATTAAATTACATCAACCATTCTTTCTTTATATATTCAAATATTGTACGTATTTTTATACTTATAAATTCTTTTACATGCCAAAAATTCTGCTTTATTGATTTGGGATTGCCATATTGTCCTAAAATTTAAACAAGATAAAACCGAATTCATTTACTTTGAATGATGTTGTTTTTCATGTGTAATTTGGATTAGTTTAAGAAGGAATGTCTGGGGAAATAATAAAGAGTACAAATACTAATGTACCTAGCAATTAAGACCTATATACATAAACACAAAAACATAAACAGTGTACAATAATGTGAAATTTAACTACAAATTATGTATTCATAAATACATCATACACACGCTCGAAATGACAAATATATTACTTGAGTCATACATATATACCACACATACACTCGTACCCATACACACACATCCTCGCATGCCTGACAGCATATATTAAGATATTAACATATGGATACATCCATCCTTTCTATTACAATAAATAATTATATATTTACCATGCCATTTGGGTCTACACATACACATAAGCATACGTATCAACATAACACATACACAAGACTGATATAATACATACATGTACGCCTGTTATTTACTTAACTACCAAAAATCTTCCTTCATGCTTTAATTAATTCTTTACGGGTTGTAAGTTTACCCGGATATGCAATTGATATTAAAAGGTTTTTTCTTAGATATAAAGGGGAGACCACTTTTGGTTAAATTTGTTCATTGTGTTATTCAAAGAAGACATCTTTTTTTTCAATCTGTTGTTGAATAATGCGTCTTTTTCCACCATTGAAAGACGTTTCAATATTTTTGAATCGACATGTATAGATATAATATTTAATAATCAGTATGAGATAGTTTATGATAGGTGGACCCTTTTCACACAAAAATAACACATCCTTGATATTCATATGATCAATATTGATAATATTGTTATTCAAGTCATTCACCCAAGCTATTAAATAATTCCATATATTGTTTATTTTCACACAGTTAAAAAATAAGTGTTCAATTGATTCTGGTGCATCTCTACAAAAAGTACATAGATCCTCATCCTTAACATTAATTTGGTAAAGAAAACTGTTTGTTGTTAATATTCTATGAAGAATCTTGAATTGTAGATTTTGAAGTTTTGTGTCAATTGTCACCAGAAAGCTTGTTAAATAAGTTTTAGCAAAAAAACTTTTTGACAGTTCATGATCCCGAGGGTTCTTGTCATTATCATTCATGTCATATTGACCATTGTGTCCATTAATATCACAAACCTACGAATCCGAGAAAGAAAACCTGGAACCTATCATTTAAGGCCCAGGGTCGCTCACGTCTTCCTCATTTAAGTAAGGCGGTACTGGTCCCAGGTTTAAATTTAGGAGCGCCTACATTAAACAAAGTATTTCGAAGACGATTTTCAGGTCGACTTTCAATCAATTTAAACACTAGATCAAAAAATTAAATATAACCATCATACGGTAAACACACTCACATCATTGCGACGGAATAATAGGTTGTAGGCAATCAAAGAAACTGAAGTTCGTCGAAAAAATCATTTTGCGTTCAAATTAGAGGGATCCGAGAATCGTAATGTAGAAATTGTTTTTGATATTATGTACAATGTACCGACAAATTATATACATGTATACATATATATCGACATTTATGAAAAGATATCACACCCAGTTACTAGGACATGTCGAGATTCCGGAAATATGTTTAGACAATCAAAATTTACTTGTGTTTCTGTTACATCTTCCGAAAAAATAGCATAGTTACTGTAAATAGACTTTTTTTTTATATTTGGAAAATATATTTACTATGCTTTTATAGAGCAGGAGTTCTAACTGTAACAGTGAATATCACTAGATGCCAATACAAACTTAAGGGTAGACACAAACAACTGGGTAGGTAGGGTTAGCGGAACCACAATATTGTTTTATTTGGCCTTAAAACGCACGAGGACAAATTGCGTATACAAATTAAAGTCGAACTGTTGTTTCCAGTTGATATTTATATTGACAGTTAATTACTCATAAGGGTAAGGCAAGATAGGGAATTCAGTATCAGTACTGTGTTTTTAAAGTGAAATCTGATGACTACCAATCCTCTTGACGTAAACGTTACCCCTCGTCTCTACTTCCGGGGATATAAACCATATCTCAAAGCGTTCGCCTTACTTATATCAACTTTAGTTATACGTGTTATCATATGTCTTTGTCCACAGGACCACTACACTGGCACGAGAAATTCACTATTGCCAAAGATGGCAAGCGCCAGTCTCCGATTGACATCCAGACCAAGGAGGCGCAGTACGATCCGAATCTCCAGCGTCGGCCAATCATGGTGAATTACAAGAGCGAGATGGGTATGGAATTGGAGAATAATGGCCATTCCGTGAAGGCCCAGATGAAGGAAAAATCCGGTAAGTACGACATGTAAAAAGTCTCTACAATTTATTGCTGACGTGAATAAGATCGTTATTGTCGTGTGGAATGACTTTAAGCATTGGCCAACCTGTGAATTCAAATAGACACCTGGAGCGGCCAGATTCTTTCAAGATGTATTCATTCATCGACTAGTGTGTATCTGTACAGATAAGATCGATAGGTGATGGAGTACAACTCGACTCATAGATAATAATTTAGCAGCCATGACTATGACGTCATTTCCGTTACAGAGTTGAGAGGAGGCCCATTAGAGGGTACCTACTTACTGGAGCAGTTCCATCTCCATTGGGGGGCGGAGAACGGCGAAGGATCGGAGCATACCATTGACGGAAACAAATATGACGCGGAGGTACAGTGTGTGGCACGATTTTAAAGGATCTTTATATTTATTTATTGGATAAGTTTTAGGCGTCATGCTTTCAGTTTATATAAAGATAAAACGGTGACAGTTAACGACTGTCCAATGAAAACTCTTGTTTTGTTTGTACATTTGTATTTTCAATTTATACAAAATGCGTCTTTCAAAATATGCATTTCATTTCTGTAAATGAGTAACTATAGGCATAGAATTTCGACAGTATATGAAAATTCCGTAATAGATAACCAAACCTGTATTATCTCCCCGAATAGCTTCACCTCGTCCACTACAACTCAAAGTATGAGACATTCGCCAAAGCCGCGGATAAACCGGACGGACTTGCTGTCTTCGGATTTATGGTCAAGGTAAGAGGCGCTGTAATGGAGGAGTGGGGTGTGTGGCCGGCCTCTATCACATACGTAATGGAGGAGTGGGCTGTGTGGCCGGTCTCTATCACATACGTAATGGAGGAGTGGGATGTTTGGCCGGTCTCTATCCCATACGTACTGGAGGAGTGGGTTGTCTGGCCGGTCTCTATCACATACGTAATGGAGGAGTGGGGTGTCCGGCCGGTCTCTATCACATACGTAATGGAGGAATGGGGTGTGTGACCGGTCTCTATCACATACGTAATGGAGGAGTGGGGTGTCTGGCCGGTCTCTATCACATACGTAATGGAGGAGTGGGGTGTGTGGCTAGTCTCTATCACATACGTAATGGAGGACTGGGGTGTGTGGCTTGTCTCTATCACATACGTAATGGAGGAGTGGGGTGTGTGGCTGGTCTCTATCACATACGTAATGGAGGAGGGGTGTGTGTGGCCGGGCTCTATCACATACGTAAAGGAGGACTGGGGTGTGTGGCTAGTCTCTATCACATACGTAATGGAGGAGTGGGGTGTTTGGCTAGTCTCTATCACATACGTAATGGAGGAGTGGGGTGTGTGGCCGGTCTCTATCACATACGTAATGGAGGAGTGGGGTGTGTGGCTGGTCTCTATCACATACGTAATGGAGAAGTGGGGTGTGTGGCCGGTCTCTATCACATACGTAATGGAGAAGTGGTATGTGTGGCCGGTCTCTATCATTTAGTGATGCATTTAAAAAAAGGTTTGGTTCTTATAAAACTTTTATATTGTTTTAGCAATAGAACATCAAATTAACTTCCGTTTTCTTTTTGTTGTAATGAAATTCATAATTAACAGTTACGAATATTCTGTAACAATTGCGCCATCACCTTGGAGTTTCATGTATATCAACCCTTTATATTCAACATTAAGAGGAAGGGTCGCAAAGGAAATCATGAAGTTTAATCTCTTTGTTTTAGAAATCCGATACGATTAATACTGTTTATTAACCAATATACGATGAAATTGGATGTTTTTCAGGTTGGTAAGAGTAACGATGGTTTTGAAAAGATTTCAAAGGATCTTGGAAATGTATTGGTGAAGGGGAAAAAGTGCAATATGGCCGATAAATTTGACCCAAGTTGCTTGTTTTCTGGTAAGTGTGTAAGGGGAGTTAACCGTAGAATTATCTGCATGACTTTGTACAAATGAAACTAGCATATATTATATTGTGCCGTATAATAAACTCACACAAAATGTTAAGTTGAATTCATTAGTATTGCAGATTGTGCTCGCTATTGTTGTATGGGGGCTGCAGGTAAACTTTGACAGCACACATGTTACCTGTTTAAAGGAATCTTCTATGACGATGTTGCAAACAGACTAGAAGTTTAGTTTTTTGTGTTTATTCAATCACAATACCCATAGAAGATGTTTGATCATGTTTTCAAACAGTATAATTTGTGTTCAGTTTACGTGCACCTATATCAACGACTAAATCGCTTGGATTTTTTTCCCCGGAGGAACTCCCTCGCAGAGTGAGATTTTCTTCTTGGATGCTAAAATAGTTGCCAGGAAAACAACCTCAGTTGGGTTTCACTCTTGCACATTAAAAACAAACTTTCAACACATCTTTGCTAGATGCAGAACAGTGTTTCATAATTTAAACAATAAGAGTTATAACATTTTTAAAGTCAGTCTTGGAAGATAATGACAGAAAACGGTAAAGGTGCATTAAACGGTAAAGGTGCATTAAACGGTAAAGGTGCATTCAAAATGACACGCGCCACTGTTACCACGCGTGACATCATCAGAAAATTAGGACAAAGAATTTCCCAATATTTTTATACAAAAACATTTGTGTCATTGTAGACACTTTGAAAATATATTGGATACAAATATAATGGTTTTGAATGAAATTTGTACGGTAAAATAAACCGGAGTTACGGGACTTATTCGGTTTTACATTTACCTCCTTTCTTCCTGTAAGAAAAGATGACCGCTGCAGCCTCTGTTAGGCCAAAAGAAGCCCAGTGTCTTCTTAGTAGCTATAGATTGTACAACTCTGATTATTCAATATATATCTTTAGAACTACAGATAGAATGTGTTAAGAAGTTGACATAATTGCCACTATGTTGTCACCAACAAAAGAGAAAATGTTAAAAAGGAGAATTTCCTATTTGAAATATAACGTAGCTTTCTGACGACGAGAGTTTATTTTTTTATATATTGCGTCAGAGTAGGCCGGGTATTCATATTAGTACTAGTCTATGGGAAGTGTATCTGTAAAGCTATGAACTGACATATTCGAGTTGTCTTTATTTGAATTTACAGATCTGACGGCGTACTGGACCTATGCGGGCTCTCTAACCACACCCCCACTGTACGAGAGCGTCACCTGGATCGTGTTCAAGAAGGCAGTGGAGATTTCCCAGGAACAGGTACGTACAGATGCATGCATACATAACTGGAAGTGTCGCTTGTGATATCAATTCCTTCCAACAGACTACTGTAACAGTCTGATTCTAGGGGTCTCTTTGTACAGATCACTCCAACGCTAACTTTGTTTCCATTCTGATTTCTTCCATATATATTAAACCCTAAAACAATAAATTAAATATTCCGCATTTAAATACCAACAGTAGCTACAAAACGCAACAGATTAACGCATGCTACTAACTTAACGCTTCACTATATAAATACTTCCAAAAAGGTATGCTGAATAACTCAGGCGTTATCACTACTCCAATTTAATAGTCGCTTATCATACAACCAATGCGGTTCACAGTAGTATTTGACAAGTATCATAGTTAAAATTATACATTTACATCCATAATAGTTTAACAACAATACAACTACTTGTACAAATCGAAATCACATAAAAACCTACCTCTTCATAGACGAAGATGGTCTAACTCCAGGGAGACAACCCGTACGTGAGTACGTGACCAAGTAGCTAATAGTGCGCATACAATGCTACAAATAAAAAAATAATGACAATTACTAAAGATGTACCAGTATCGGACGTTAACAAGAATGTTTAATATAATCGACATGATGTTAAACTACTTATCAATTTAACCAAAATCATTGTGGATAAAAATAACGAATAGCACAAAATGGCGGGTATAAGTCAAATAATTTCAAATTTAATTGGACAATTAATTTATAAAGTATATAATTTACGTCATAACTTTATCAAAGTGTTATCAAATGTGATATAAATAATTAACAATCACTAAGATCTTATTAAAGTACTCACAATTTAGAATTCCCAGCTCACTAATAAGCTCTAAGTCTGCACAATTTCAAAACACGTCCGATACGGCCATTCACTTGTACGGGAGTGAAAATGCCCCCAAAAGCGCGGTCGCGCACTGACCCATGGTCAATCTGACACGAAAAATAGATAGGCCCATGAACCTTGACAAACAGGTTTGCACATGTGTCATATGATACAAAGCAAAGTGTACATGTATATAGATACACCTTATAGTAAAAGCACAGCACTTAATACTCTGCTCTTAATGAATAATCAAGTTTAAAAACAACCAGCTTTACCAGTAAAAGATATTACTGTCATTAAATAATGACAATGCTACACTACATTAGGAAATTATTCATTTCCTTATTTCATTGTTGTTTACCCAGCACTTCCTCATTACTGTAGGTAAAAAAATGTGTGAACATTTGTTAAAACAAGCTTTTAAAATAATTAATACGGAACATTTTTTACAATAAAAAACACTAACATACACGAGTATGAACCATCGAACGCTCGAATTCACGTACATTTACACAGCCTTTTACGACGGTTTAAAACACGGCCTTCTTGTCCCAGTTGCTCAACGGCTTGTTAACTGTTACCAGTAGTTAGGGGGAAATTCATTTGTTGCCACTGAGAAACATGTTGCAAGATAAAAACCGCTTTTTGTTTGTAGTTTGATTTTGATTTTTTATGTAACTCCGAAATTTACTGTGAGGAAAATAGTAAAACGATGTTAAATGTTTTTTTGACAGTGACTTTTTGAAGGCCCTTTGACGTCTATATTGCGTATTTCCATTGGTTTTACAGATGGACTCACTCCGGTTGCTTCAAGACTCCGAGGGAAAAAGCATTGTCAACAACTACCGACCTCCACTTTCGGTAGGAGACAGAGTAGTCAACAGCTCCTTCAGTTAATAAGCATGTACTTATAGTGTCTATAGACAACAGGTCATTGTGATGTTTACGTCACTGTGATTTTTAACACTGCACGAAATGTATACGTCACAGTGATTTTAGCGTCACTGTTGTGTAAACATTATGTCGTTGTGTTGAATACGTCACAATGATGGATTTGTCTATGTGGTGTGACGTCTTTATGTGTGTGTTCGCGTCACTATTTGTAGTGGACACGTCACTTTTTGTAGTGTATATATGTACTCAAATCATTGGGTGTGTCTACCAGACCAGGCGTCGCTGTGCTTTAGATAGACCAACGTGTGACAGTTAATGTAACGGACCGTGTCTCGACTCGATGGCTGGAACTGGCCAACAAAGGACCTGGAATATTCACTTGCGAGAAATCTTTTTTTTAAACTCCATTTCACGGTGGACTGTTTAATAAAGACAAGCTTTTTTTTACGTTATTGCAAGACAATTTAACAGTTATTGTATTTCTTATATTTTAAATTCTTGGAGGAATAATTGTTGTGATTTTGGAATGTATTGTAAACCTTGTTACACAAATAACCACATAAACAGAAACGGTAATCAATTCTAATCTCTTTAAGGAGTTGTGATATAAAAAATAATTAAAGTACAGTAAATTTGATTATGGGGCGGTATATCAGTGTTATTCTCTTTTATCAAACAAATGCATCGACCGAAGTGATTTTTGATTTATGACTTTCAAAGTTTCATAATTAAAATTAAGAGTTAGTCTGTTCTATGCATTGTAGATTTACTTTGACTTTTAATTGTATTTTCATTAGAAGTGATAATAGTTAACTGATGGTAGATTCAATATCATGTACAGTGTAGCATCCCCTGTGTTCATAATGCTACCACTTTACAGCATTCCGTACCATTGTTTCTGACGCAGAAAGAATACTATATTGCTAAAGTGTGATGCTCTGTAATAATTCTATGACGAATAGCTAAGACAGTACAGTGCATCATTTATAGTCTATTGACATTTTTTTATTTGCAATACTTACCCTTACTCACATAGATTCAATCACATATGATTATACAACTTTTGCTATTTTACATACTAAAGAAAACATTGTTGGATAAAGGCTGCTTGTGATGTGCGCAATTTAATTTTACTGGTTTGTCTCCGCCTGCTTTAGCTTGAATTGAATAACAAAATGTCTGGGATGGAGTTCTCTTGTAGAAGTAAGACCTTTTTACAGAAATGTTATAATGTTTATCATCATCATCAGTGTGTTTTATTTTTAAATATAACCATACTAGAACATTACCGTGTTTATGTATATTAAAATGAGGTTGGACGAAAAATGCCAATTTCAAAATCACAAAAGAAGAAAACCTATGGCAATCTTATGTTGAATTTTATATTATTGTTAAGTTGAAAAGCAGATTTGTGATGAAACATAACTATATATATGGTTGGTACTTTATTTACAGAATAAATTTGAGAGAATTTTAACAAATGCTTTGTTTTATTTTGAATGACGTATTTCTACAGTTACTATGCCACACTCACACACAGGAACAGCATTCATGTTACAATGAAGTAAAACCACAGTCCTATCCAGCTGTATTGACCAGGCATGGGTAATGTTAATTAATTGCAATTATCATATGTTTACTCAGAATATGAGTGTTTTTGCATATTTGATAACTTCTGATCACTCCTGATACCACTTCCGGTCACCCGTGTGACAAGTTTCTCGTAATGCACCCCATGTTCGGAACACCTCTACTCCTGTATTGGATATGGGCAGCGCCCGAAGCGTTCCGTGTAAAATCCGGATTTGCGCTGTCAGTTGTTTTTTTGCTTAGACAGTGTGTTGAGCAGACGTCAACAAACAAAATGTTAACAAACCAGGGAGAGGAAATACTTAATTCTCTAGCGTCTAGAATACTTGAACACTTTGGTCCCTCGGGCTGATATCGGGACTCTCGGGCTGATAAGGGATATGATATCAAAATGGTGATATAATAACCACTAATTAATTACATTTTGTTAAGTAATTGGATGTAATGTTTAATTGAGGATTTTTTCAATTTCATGTAATGGTAATTTAATTAATTACATTGAAAAATGTATGTAATGCCCAATTACTTTTAATTGCTTCAATGTTGAGTGTTGATGTTTCATGCATCCTTTATACAATTTAATCAAATGGAAAGTTTTAAAAATAACTCTTTATTATGTATAGGACACAGGTAATTAGAGGTTACACCTGTATCGACACTATAATCCCCTATTCCTAGCTTAGCTATTGTCCTCCTTCCCAGAGACCAGGTAACTTGTGATTTTAATAACAAAAGATTGCCACACAGTGAGTACATGTATCATAACGGGGTAGACAATTCAGAACATTCTATCTTTGTAAGGGTGAATTTATAGTGAATAGTAGTACTAACACTGAATTGAGCCATTTTTAAATTCTCAAACACACAACAGGGTATTTCAAGGCAAGATGAATTCTACAGTTTTCTGCTAGCAACCTCAAGGAAAAGACACCAATCTGGGTTGGCACCAAAATATCTCGACAACCTTTGTATTGACATGGAGGATGACCCTTTGTAATTTTGGCAAACAAATTCTGTCCAATACCCTGTTCTGTTTAAACTCGCTATCAAGTATCAGCCGAGAGACTATTCGGTATAGACGGGAAGATATTCCGCCCGGACAGATGCCGTCTAGATGACGAAACGTTTGAGCATCTGATATTGATAAAATGCAATATGCATGTTATTCGAGTGTATACTTACATTTTGTATATATGTAGTGATGTAAATTACCTTTATGAACCACAAACAACAAGTTACTAACAAATAAAGGTAAATATGTGTCATTTAAACTTGCCTTTTTATTGGCTTGGATTAAAAATAATAAACCCAGAATATTAAATAAAAGTGATGTGTAATGGTACATTGGCAATGTAATTGTAATGGTAATTAATTACATTAAGAAAACCATGTAATGGTAATGCTACTTTTCCAATGTAATGTGTAATTTAATTGATTACATTACCAATGTAATTGCCCCATGCCTGGTATTGACACAGTCATACTTTGTAAATTTTATTAAAATTGTCATCCTTAAAGAAACTGCGATTCGAACCATGGACTTCAGAATGCTACACTTTTGCTCTAACCAACTGAGCTAACAGGTCAGCGGAAGTTAGAGGGAGGTTACTGTAAATACGGAAAAATAACTGTACAGTGGGACAGGGATCCTAATGACAGCTCTGGCTCATCTAGGACATGCTTCTGTTGGACTCGCACCTGATTATATCAGAGCTAGCTGATACAATCTTTTCATTAGTGTGTGCAAAACACGGACATCCACGACAAAGTGGCAACATTTTGGACATTAACGTTTTGACAATATATCAAGATTGGCAGTATTACTTAATGTATACGATATTTTTTTGTAGTTTGGAAAGGGAAAGAAAAACAAACAAACAGTGGTTAAAACGATCAGGCAGATAAGGAAAATGTCAAAAGGGATAACAATAGTTAAAACCGCAAAAGTAATAATGTGTACAAATGTACCAACACAGTTTAAACACAAAGTTGGAGAGCAAATGGAGCAGGCAGGGAGGTGGTTGAGACAGTAATTAAGAGCTGATTAAGAATTGGGGAGGTCGGTAGACATGTGTTTCTGGTTCATGGAGCTCGAGCCCTTTGACTTATAGTTTGAGGTAGCCTAATGAAATGTACTAACGACTATAACCTTCTGTTTCGAAATATTCGAACTGGTTTAGGTAAACAGGCAAATTTTGTTCACGTGAATCTCATTTCACATGAAATTCACGTGAAATTCACGTGAAATTTGATTCACGTGATTTTCACATGAATTTTTCACGTGAAATTCACATGAAATTCACATAAATCTCAAATGCAATTCACGTGAAATTCACGTGAAATTTGATTCACGTGATTTTCACATGATTTTTTTCACGTGAAATTCACATGAATTTTTCACATGAATTTCACATCAAAATGTTCACGTCAATTTCATGTATGAGCTCGTTTCAGGTGAAATCCATGTGATTTTCAGGGGAAAGTCATGTGAACCAATTTTGCCTGTGCAGAACACTGTAATATTTATTTGGATTGCAGTTATATGATTTGTCTGTTTTCATAATGTTATTCCTATGGAAGACACTTTTTCACCATGCAGGATAATCCCAATTTGAGACTTGATGTTAGGGAAATCTATAAACTTCTAGACTGGAAACACGGTTTTCGGATTTCTTATGCGATAAGGATACATGTTAAAAGGGAAATAAACCGAGGCCGAAAACGAACCACGTTACAATTACACTTGAATTATAGAACCAGGATACAAGACAAACCGCTCTAGGTTTTTATTTCATATAGGCATATGATTAAAAAATATACAAAACACGAATAAATTAATTAACACAGTCTGTTCCATTCCATGATACATGCCTATTTATTTTTCAAAACATTTCTGCTTTGCTCCATTTTTCCATATTTCTCCGCCTTTTCCCTCAAATGTTCACCCCTTTCCCTAATTATACCCCCTTCATACGTTATTTTTTTTGTTCTGAATTAAGGTCACATTAAATTTCGTGTAGAATGCATTTTGTTTTTCATATATTTTCATTTTACTTTAGTCACATTTTACAACAAGGGAAATCCAATAAAATTAACTGAAGGCTTAAGTAAAATAAAAACAAATTAAACTTGTTGGACATTATATACATGAAAAATAAAATGCATTCTACACGAAATTTAATGTGATCTTAATTTAGAACAAAGAAAAATATGAAAAGAACGGAAGTTATGGAAAAAATGGAGGGAAAAGGGAGTAAAATGAGGATATAGGGGGAGAAATGTGGAGGGAAAGAAAGTAAATGAGGGGAAAAGGATGAATGGATAAGAAGATAACTCATACTTTTATAAATTTAGAAAAAAAATGTCAAAATTAAACTGAGCTTATTAATTAGTACTAACGGAAACTGTATAACTGAGCAAGGTGGTGTTTTGAATAATTTCAATGGTTCTACAAGAAATTTTATATGTAGAAAACAAAATGGAAGATGTTAATCTGATTAGGCTGCTGACAGAATATGAACTCAAAATATCGGAAACAAGCGTAAGTTAGACTTTGATGAGTTACCAATATCAATCCAATCAGAATATCTGGCCCGGATGGGATTATGGAAAAAAATGTAGGTACTTTCAATTGAAAATCATAAAAAAACAAGTTAATCGAAAGCAAGTAACAATCACTACACGCCTTAAGACAATGCTGTATACAAATAACCGGATAACAATACCACGAAAATACCACGAGGCGAAGCACTGCTTGAGAAGTAAACCCTGAAAGTGCAACATCCTCATTGGTGAACATGGCGGTCATCACACGAGCCTACTATGTACTGAGGTTAATACATCGACATGCTGTACATTTGCACAGGGGGTACATTTATAATTGCAGACAGTTAACAAAAACTCACACAATAAGTTGAAAAGTGTATATATATAGTGTTTATTTGACGACTATAAAATCGTCTTTAGCAATAACGTGTTGGAGTTACCTCCCTTTAAATGTTTACTCTTGCCCTATGTTGTTATTTGACCAATATTGAAATTGCATTCACAATAAATTGATTTTGAACACTGAAATTTATCTTTTTCGATGGCATATTCTGATTAAAGTGAACGAGTAGCTATACACTTTCATTCTTTTCCAACCTTAGACCTTTTTATGTACGAACCTATTCGGCTATGCATGTATATATCTTGCATCGGCGATTAAGATACGTCAACTTCCTCCCTGATTCGTTACCAGATACTTCCTTATATGGTGTCTCCTTATCTGTTATTGATATGACTTCAATCTCTATCATTATTACCGATTACATAATGAAGTACTTTTTGTGTTTATCAACGTGATTTTATCTATATTTGCCCATTATGCAGCTCATTGATGTTGCAAGCAAACTTAATCGTCAAAGCGAGGACACAGCAACAGTGCTAAGTACATAGAATATCAATTATTTGAAATTTTGGAACAACTGGAAGTAATCCCCAAAACTTATCATGCACCTGGTAATGATTTCCGGTCAGCCGTGCATTTTGTATTTTATAATGTAAGTTTTAACTCATGGCTGAAATTAAGCATGAAGGATGGATGAAATATCCTCAGTTTTTATTATTTTTAGACGTTTTTCCGAAGTTGCTATAGATACGGGATAACGAAAAGTGATATAATTCAAATAATAATTAACCCAGAGATATATAGGCCAACAATAACAACTGGGGAATGTAGATAGGAGAGGAAAGACACGTAAAACGGCAGTACGTCAACACATAAAGACAATACTTCAAGCCGATACTTCAAGCCGATACTTCAAGCATAGACAAAAGTAAAGAGACAACATTAACCCCGACGCAAAACTGAAGGCGGAACCATGTGTTCGCGAAAGTTCAATGATCTAGT